ATAATATAATAAAAATTAAGTTTACATTCAATATAATTCTGCTTTGATTTAAAATTTATATGCTACCTGTCTACAACCGGCTTGTTCTCAAAGCATTACACAATAATAATTTTGGAAAAACAAATAAACAAATCCATAATTAATGATGTTTTGGTCAACAATTGAGAAACAGTGTCTGGTATGAAAGCGTCAATAGCACTGCAGTAAGCAATTCATTGAAAAGAGAGCAATTTAAAAACTGAAATAACAAAAGCCAGTAAACACCCAGTAAGTACTCCTAACTATTTTAATGAACCTAAGCAAGTTAAAATAAGTGTCTTTAAAAATATATATTGAGAAATGCAGGATGTAAATATTTTAAATACATAAATATAAATAATCCAGTTGTGTATTATTAATATCCCCATTTCCACATAAACATAGAAAAGTAGCATTAAGCCAACCAGCAAGAGTAGGGCTGAACCTGTAAAGCAGAAAATAAGTACAGTACTGGGTTTCCAGAATGATAGATTTCAGTTTTTCTTAATGACAGGTCAGAAATCACATGAGAACACTGGATGATAGCCACATCTCTCCTTTGCAGAGCCTTCTTCTGTGTTCTCGTGTGGGCTTTCCCTCCTTATCCTACGCTTTCTCTTTCTTACCTGTGAATTCTTTACCCTCCCCACCCTGCTTTTAACCTAAAGGACACACCTGAAAGGTAGCTGTCTTTGGGCAACCCCAAAAGAAAGATTGCCTTTGACATCCCCCCTAAGGGCAGAGTTTCCCAATCATTTTAAACACACGTCTCCCTTTAAAACCTCATTATCTCATGCTCTCCTTCAAATGTGCCTCCCCTAATAGTTTTATGTGAAATTTAAATTACTGAAAATAAATGAAGTTGCTCTGAGCATTTATATATACAGACAGCCTTGCAAAGACATATAGCTACTGCAAATAAAGAATACTACTATGTTCAGACAACATTTGGGGTGAACATTCTAGCAGCAGAGAAGTATCAGATTTGATGGAGAAACCTTTGGGAAGGGCATAAGAAGACCACACAGAACAAACTCTACACTGTAATTTAGAGATGAAAGATAGGAGTGAATAACAGGCACAGTACTGTGCATCACAGGAAGATGTAATACAGTAAGTTGCATGCTAAGGAAAGAAGTTAAAATTTCTGGCAAATAAAATTATTCTGCTATAGTATTAAAGATGGTTCTGAAACTAGACATGCTTTCTGGAATGCTAATATGCTCCCTTTTGTTCAATGCACATCACAATTGTTGAGAATCACTGCATAGCGGTTGCTCTGCTTATAACAACTTTAGGAAAAATACTTCCCACACTGTCAGCTGCTGCAGAGCAGAGACACCGCAGTGGATATTAATCCATCTGCTTGGATTCTTGATACGTTTTGCTGCAATTGGAGGAGGGGGAGGCAAATCAATTTCCCCACTAATTTTTCAGATATTCCTGGTGCTCTTACAGGATCCTCCTGTCCACCCTTTCCCTCTGCCTCCAGGCTGCTTTTTAGCAACTGTAACACGTCTACTGTGTCTGCTGGTAGTTCAGCTAAGATCTCCCAAGAAATTACATACTTCAGAAAGCAGCTGCACCTTAGAAATCTTCAGAAAAAAATGTCAGCCTTGGGAAGTGTGAAAATAAATTTTAATCTTTTTCAGATTGCTTCCCTGCAGATTTTATTCTCTCACCTGACATCTGCTTTTATTATTGAGTTCCTCTTCTTCCCACCCACCTCCCTCCTTTCCTGCCCTTCAAACTGTGTAATAAAAAGATGTAAAGAGGTATCAGTGTTTATTATCTAGGAATCTCTCTATCCATTGTTTTGCACTGCCAGTATCAACCATGAATAGATCAGCAATGATTTTTGAACCCTGGTTGTTTCACAATGATCTTATTGCACATCTACAATGTTGGAATGAGGAACAGCCAGTAGTTAAAAGTAACTGTTCTTGTGTTGTTTCATGTTGTCAAGTTAAATGAGAGATTCTAAAATGTGCTGTCCTCAAGAGTTCTGTTTAGCTCTTGCAAACTCAGCTGTGGCTTCCTTTAGGGAATTAATCTACCTCATATCTGGCATACCTCTTTCCCTGCTGCCTTCCATCTTTCCCAGCTTTATTGTCTTGTCATGATGTGCTTAAGGTAGAACAACTTCAGTTTCATCATTTTTGCCTCCAGAGATATTTCAGGCATGATTGATCTAGGATCTACTTGTTCATCTTTCTGAGCCACTCTATATCTTCTGGGATTATCATTCTCAGAGAAAAATACTTTGTAGTTGTCTGACTGAAAATATCCCATTCTACTCCACTTTACTTCATTGACAACAAGCATTGCAATATTTAGACATTCAATTTCTTCATTGTTTCCAGGTCACCTTGATTCATTCTGTTGTATGTGTTATTTTCTTTTTTTTTTTTACTTCTGTGCACATCAGCCACTAGAGGTCCTTTTACCTTTAATGTACTGTATTTTTCCATATATAAGACCCCCGACTTTTCTAAACTCAAATTTCTTTCTCGCAAGAAACAGGAGGGGAAAGGCAGGGATTAAAGCGCTTTGATTCCTGCTTTTCTCCACTTACTTGCGAGGAAAGTGGAGGGGAAAATCACTTTCTTTGCAAGAAAGTGGAGGGAGGAAAGCAAGGATCAAAGCACTTTGATGATTCCTGCTTTCCCCCTCCACTTTCCTCGCAAGATAGTGGAGGGGGAAAGCAGGGATCAAAGCACTTTATCCCTCCCCCCTCCTTACTTCTGTGTATCAGATGACTCTCAATTTTTACTCTAAAGATTTTAGATAAAAGTATCGTCTTATACACAGAAAAATACAGTAGTTACATCATTAGTTGCAGTGCTATTCATAGTTGTCCTTTGCTCTTCTCTAGTAGCCAGCTGAGTGTTTTTTGACCTAGGAGTCTCATCTTCCATCACTCTCTCTCATTATTTTGGACTGTCTCCCCATAGGGTTTTCATGTTAAGGAACATTCATTAATCACAATGGCTACTTTCTGTTCAGTACTAACAAATGCTAACTGTCTAGTAGCTGCTACCCCCATCACCATTGGAACTATCCATTCTTTTCTGCTTATGTAACCGTTACCCTTGAAGAGGATGGATGAATTTCAGTCAGTTGTCTCAGCTGTGACCCTTCTGCCTTGGGGGACCCTGTTTGGAGTCCGGGTTTGTAACGGAGTCTGGTCTCCTAATGGCATTGCTCTCAGCAAAGGCACAGGGCTGTCACATTTGGGACATCCATAGAAGCCACACATTATAATTCTGTTTTTCATAGGAGAAAGAATGTGATTCCACGTGTGATGAACGAGAAAAACAGAACCTCTATGAGAGTTTACTTGGCATATTTCCTCAGGACTACACATTGACCTCTTTTTCTGAGAGTGACTCGGGAAAGATGATGGTGCTGATAGAGCTGCTGGCAGCAATTCATGAGCTCAGCCCTTCAGAAAGGTAGGAAAAAAAGTGTGGCCAGCTTTTGCTTTTGTGTGCAACTAAAATGGCCTAATTTTTAATATCACTCTTCTCTCACAAGATAATCAAGCCAGTTCAAGAATCTCCAGTAATGGCGCTCACTTGACATTTGTAGGAGTAACGATGATGGTGCTGATAGAGCTGCTGGCAGCAATTCATGAGCTCAGCCCTTCAGAAAGGTAGGAAAAAAAGTGTGGCCAGCTTTTGCTTTTGTGTGCAACTAAAATGGCCTAATTTTTAATATCACTCTTCTCTCACAAGATAATCAAGCCAGTTCAAGAATCTCCAGTAATGGCGCTCACTTGACATTTGTAGGAGTAACACAAGGCACACTAATCCTCATTCCCACCTGGAATTTGCAGATGACAGTATTTATTTATTTATTTATTTATTTATTTATTTATTTATTTATTTATTTATTTATTTAAAATGTTTTACCCCACCTTTCTCCTTAAAAAGACATTGGATTGAACCACCTATTCCTTTTTTTCCCAATTTTACCTACGCTACAGGAATGTTGTAGAAACGGACAGGTTGTGCCTGTCCTGCACGTTTTTTAAAGGAAGAAGTATTTGCCTTTACTGTAGTAATTTCTTTATGTTGAAAACAGGGATGGGGAGAAGGCATCATTAGGGCTGCATGCAGCTGCCTTAAAGTAGTTTTTGTGACACTGGCCGTGTCAGAATCCCCTGCCCACAAAAATCCTCCAGGAGCAGGAAGTGAGTTGTAAGGACCCATTGCTGCAGTGTTCAACATCTCCCAAATACCCATTTTTTCAAAACTGAATGTGGACTTCCCACCACCTAGATGTTTATTTTTTATTTTCTTCCCCCCACCTCTCAAGCCCACCCCCTTTCTGCAGTCACAATGTGTGGCATTCGTGCCCCTTGCCTGGCTCTCCAAACACAGAGCACACAAAGACAAACCAATACTCCTTTTCACCTGCTGTCATCAGTTGATCACAAAATCAACATTAATTATGGAAGGATAAAGATGCAGGTCCAAACTTCACTGTCTTTTAAATAAAACCTGTTTATTGATTATAGATGTTATTATTAATCATAGGTAACTTCTATTATCTTCAGTCTCAACCTTCTATTTGTCATTACAGTTTATTCACTTTTCACTCTAATCACACCTCAGATCTCACAAAATACCGCACTCTATCTCCTGCTCCACTCTCTCACTCTGACTCTCACTCTCTTTCTCTCACTGACTCTGACTGACTCTGACTCCACCTCTTTATTACATATCTCTCAGCTCCGCCTCTTAGCAACCTTAGCCTGCAACATGAATATGCATGACTACTTCATAATAAGGGTGAATGCTACATACCTTCCCCCTTAAATATGTTTGTTTGGGAGGGGAAATGTGTCACCTGCCACTTTCCAGACAAATTCTCATAGTTTATCTGAACCTCTTCCACTTTCAGCACTACAGATTATTTCCCAATTCTTTTTAAGGTCATAGTTCTGCCTGGAATTATGTCATCCTGGGCTATCAAATCAGAATGTACTATAGAAATTTGAGATCCTGTGTCCCTTATAGCAATGTATTTCTTTCCTCCCACTAATATCTCTTCACCAGCGTTTTTGAGAAGGGTATTGTCATTTTCGATATAATAACAATGTACTATAGTGGCTTCAGGAATGTCCTCCTCAAGATCAATGGAAGCTGTGGTTGCCATGGAAACAAGACTCTGATTACTGCTTCCCTCAGAGGATTCAACTTGTTTTAAACAGTACACTTTTTTGGTTTGATTATTATTCTTCCCAGTATTAAGTTTATCTCTTGTACATTAGAACTGTAAATGTCCAGGCTGGTTGCAGTTGTAACACCTATAATTCCTTCTCCCATTCGGAGGAGATTTGGTAAACGTTTCCTCAGAGTTCATTTGGTTCTGAGGACTAGGCTGTACTAATTTAGCTGAGGCACCACCCTGGCCTTCATTCCCTATTGTTTTACTGTAGTACTGTTTGTTAAAAGGTTGGTTGAAGGATTTCTTATGGTTGTCCCAGGTTGGCTTGTTAACTTTTACCTCGGAGAATCTGGGGTCTTTGTACTCTCTAATATGATCTGCTTGTTCACCAGCTTCTATTAGAGCTTTAGGATTTTTGTCCCTAACAAGATAGCGCAATTCCACAGGTAAAATATACTCTAGTAAAATTGTTCTAAGCCTATAACAGTTTTCATCTCTTCTAGAGAAGTAACTTTTTCACGTGTCATCCATTTGTCCAGATACTGGTGTAACTTAGACACCAACTGAGCATACGATTCTTCAGGCCTTTTAGTAAGGGTATGGAATTTTCGCCTGAGATGTTCTGCATTTATGCAATATCTGGAAAATACCATTTTTCTCTAAGCTTCAAAATCTCTAGCCTGTTCTAGGGGAATCTGAGAATCAATCTCAAGCAATTCTCCACTGATTTGTGACCTCAAATCAGCTATCTTGGATATTAAAGTCCCAGCATGCGCACTCAAAACTGATAAGAAAAGATTCAAGACAGTCCCCTTTCTTATATTGGGGAAATTTCTTAAGATCAATTTTAGCCGGAATTCCTCTATTGGAGCTGTTATTATTGTCGTTATTTTGAGAGGTTATTTCTATTTGTCTCATTTGTATTTGATAATCCATCTCTTTTTATCTTAATTCCATTTGTCTGGCCTCTTGCTCAAATGCCGTTTGTCAGGCCTCTTGCTCAGATGCCCTTTATCTGGCCTCTTGCTCAAATGCCATTTGTCTGACCTCTTTGCTCAGATGCCCTTTGTCTGGCCTCTTGCTCAGCTTTTCCTCTCCTTTCTAATTTCCTAGTTCTTTCTTTGATCTCTAATTCTTTCAATTTAAATTCCAGTTGTAATTTCCATTTTTGAAAATCTAGGGAGCTTAGAACACCTTTTCTCCCCAAGTCATCCTCCTCAGTCTTCAACTGTTCTCTTGGAGTTACAGGGTCACCAGTTCTCTCCATTTCCTGAGGTACTAAACTTTGTGCCTCTTGAGACTCAGTTTCCACCATGACTGGTCTTTTAGTTCCTTTGGGAGACATATTTATCTGAGTTACTTATTCTAGAGTGTGTTTATACTGATTTTATAATGGACCTGTCTTTCTTCTTTTACTTCCAGTCACTTAAATGATTTCTATTTCAAGCAAAGGCTTTTTCTTCTATTCCCTCAGATCTCCTCTGATCCCTGGCTTCTGCTTTTTCCACAAGCGCTCTCTAAACTCTTAGAGCCTTGAATCTTAAGCTAGCCTACTGGGTCTTCAAATCTTGAGGTAAAATACAAGAATTTTCTCTGAGTCGTTCCTATCTTAGACCCCCCAAATAAATAAATAAATAAATAAATAAATAAATCTAAAAGGTACCCTTGACTCAAGAAAATTTTCTTTAAATTCAAGCTTGATTGGATTTCTTCGTATCCCACCGCTGGATACCAATTGTGGCGTTCGCCCCTCATGTCCCTTGCCTGACTCTCCAAACACAGAGCACACAAAGACAAACCAATACTCCTTTTCACCCGCTGCCACCAGTTGATCACTAAATCAACATGAATTATGGAAGGATGAAGATGAAGGTCCAAACTTCACTGTCTTTTAAATAAAACTTGTTTATTTCGTATCCCACCGCTGGATACCAATTGTGGCGTTCGCCCCTCATGTCCCTTGCCTGACTCTCCAAACACAGAGCACACAAAGACAAACCAATACTCCTTTTCACCCGCTGCCACCAGTTGATCACTAAATCAACATGAATTATGGAAGGATGAAGATGAAGGTCCAAACTTCACTGTCTTTTAAATAAAACTTGTTTATTGATTACAGCTATTTGTTTATTAATCATAGGTAACTTCTACAGGTTTATTATCAATCTCAACCTTCTATTTGTTATATCAGTTCTTATTCACTCTTCACGCTAATCACACCTCAGATCTCCCAAATACCACACTCTATCTCTTTACTCTCTTCTCTCTCTTCACTCTGACTCACTCACTGACTCTCTGACTCCGCCTCTTTATTACATATCTCTCGGCTCCGCCTCTTAGCAACCTTAGCCTGCAACATGAATATGCATGACTACTTCATAATAAGGGTGAACGCTACACAATGGTCCATATTGCTGGATGATTTCAGGGGCAGAAAATTGTCCCCTGGGTTCAGCAAAGTTGCCCAGCTCTGCATTAAGGGAATTACTTTTCTTTACAGTGCTATCATCCTTTCGCCACCAATTTAGGATTTTTTTTCCTCCGTGGCATTTGGCCAGAAGTAACAGGCAATATTTTTAAAATAAGCACTATGACTTTTTGTTTTCAAGGGGAGGTGCATTTTTAGATTACATGTATGGTGTGTGTGTGTGTGCTTGTTTTTAACTTGTATATATTTTACATTTTGTAGTATGTTCTAGATTCTTTTATAAAATTGTGTCTAATAGTTGTTGTAGATTTTTCGGGCTGTTTGGCCGTGTTCTGGATGTTTTTCTTCCTAACATTTCGCCAGTCTCTGTGGCCAGCATCTTCAGAGGACTCTGTCTGAGAATACATTGTGTCTGATAAATTTAAATAAATGAATAAATAAAGGTGTCATTTGTTACATACAGCACTGATGTTACCTGTCTGTCATGGGTTTGGAGGGAAAGTTCCATCCTATGGGGAGTGGAAGGCGGGACATCAGGAGGAGGGGCTGTACTGTATATATAGGTGAAGCTGAGGGAGAAGCTAGAGGAGAGCTGAGAGAAGAAGCTGGTGTGGGAGTCTGTGTGTCAGACAGGGTACTACTGTGTGTCAGTCAGTACCAACCTGATAGGTTCAGGTGTCTGTATGGGAAGCCAGAACTGATAGGTTCAGGGTCTGTGCTTTATTTAAAGGTGTTCTGTGTGAACCAACCTGGTGTATGTATGATTGAGACTAAGCCACGTTACTGTATCTTATTCATTTGATCATTTTATTTTCCCTGTGTGTTATTTAAATAAACCTTATTCCTTTATTTGTTAAAAATCCATTCCTGGTCTGTGTGACTCCTTACAGGGAATGGTTGGTGGCAGCTTAGTGAAAGTGTGGCATCCTCCAGTAGGTCTGGGTTTGAATAAATGAATAAATAAAGGTGTCATTAAATGCACATTTTTTAGTAAAGTAGAAACTTAGGGAAGTGCCTCATATACAGTCAAAAGTGACATTCTCCTTGTGATATGAAGGGTGTAGTTGTAGAAAGTAAAGAACAGTTATCTGACCACATTATTTTGCTATTTAAAAAAATGTTTATCTTGCCTTTGTGAAAAAAGAAAGTGCAGCCGATAACAAAGAAACTGAACAATAAAAATATAAAGCAACAGGCAATAATCAGGTTAAAATTAAAAATGTAGAGAACAAAAAACATTGTTATTAAAACAAAGAGACATGGAATTCTTTCTAACTCATTTGTCCCAATACAATGGCTGGAATCTAGATGCAGAATTATGTGGACGTTTCAACTTTTGGAAGCAAATTGCCATAAGTTAAGAAATCTCTGCAGACAGTATCTGTTGCATACACAACTCGGTGTGCAACAGATAAATTTGAAGGAGATTTGTTGCCTCTACAAGTTATACTGTTTGTGCAACTGCACAACAGAATTTTAGCCTGTATTGCCTAACATATTATGCTTTGAAAACTGATCCATGAAATTAATTTTATTTGCTATCTACATGTGATTGCTTTACTGCAAATTGTCCAGTTCACAGAAAGCTTTTTTTTTGTGGTGTTCTGTTTTAAAGCAGCATTTAGGCTGAAAGTCTTATACTGAATCTCCCTGGGAATATTTCCTGCTGACCTAAATCATACTTTCCTATGAGTGAAGCTATTTAGGGCTTTATATGTCAAAACATATGAGTAAAATGTGTGATTAATAGCAGCTTGCACTTGCTTTTGTGTGAGGAAGTGTTTCGAAAAACTTTCCCCATCTTAGTCCAACACTAAAGTGGTGTCCTCCAGATGTTTTGAAATGCAGTTCCATCAGTCTGTAATATTTGGTCATGTAGTGAGTTTATGAGGAGCATGCCCCCAAATATCTGAAAGTTTGCCTACCCCCCTCAAATCACTGCACTATACAGACATTCTGTGATACCTGGCATCTAGCCCTGTTCATAAAATATTTCATTCTTCTTTCATAACTTTGAATCCTTCTGCAGATTCATCCTTTCTAACTCAATGAAATCTATATACCTCTGCCGTGTAAATTCTGTTTCCTCCCCTACACCTTAGGAGAGACATTGAATAAAATGTGCCTCAAGAATGTTTTGTAATGGTCTGAATACCGGTATATTGATTCATTTTTAGTATAGCATTTGCTAGTGTGGAATAGTGTTCATCATCACATGCTGAGACTGAAAATGTTTAATGTTTTTATTGTACTTTCAAGAGTTTAAAATGCTTTGCACCCATTGTCTAGCTGTTATCCTTATAATACTAATTCTCTGTTTTGGATTGATAGAGTCGTTGTGGTATCTAACTACACTCAGACACTGAATGTTCTACAAGAAGTGTGCAAGCGTTATGGATACTCCTTCACAAGACTTGATGGCAATACCCCAGTTTCTCAGAGACAACAGATTGTTGATGCTTTTAACAGTAAATTCTGCCCAGCTTTTATCTTTCTCCTGAGTTCAAAGGCTGGTGGTGTGGGTCTGAACTTGGTTGGGGCATCTCACCTAGTCCTCTATGATATTGACTGGAATCCAGCCACTGACATCCAGGTTTGTTGCAGTTATTCGTATGGGGATCGAAAAGATTCTAGTCATTCCGGATTGCCGCCCCTCAGTTATGTAGATCTTTTTTTCAGAGATTCATTCCAATCCGATCATTGTATATGCCCTCAGCACACTGAACCATTTCTTAAAGGCAAATGCCTGTGAAATTTAGCATTTTGTATAGCAAAAATGTCACCTATATTCTCAAGGGAAAATGTGACTGTGATGCCCAAATTCTACTTCCTTCAGCCAAGAGTCATATAAAAACTACTTTAAAAACAATTACATAGGATTGGACACTATTTTGCATCTACGTAAGCCATCTGATACTTAGAAGGAAATAATATAACTGATTCATTCAGGAACTAAAATAATCTGAAGTACCTTACAATTCCTGTTGCCTTCATTGTCTAGCTCAGTGAGTTAGGTGTGTGGCTCCAGAGCCAGAGGTTGGGAGCTTACGTAATTCCTTACTGTGTCTCTCAGAAGTAGAGCCAGTCTGTGTAAGCGATGAATTAACGTCGCAATGCTTTCTGCAGATCCCCACCTGCAAACTGCTGTTGAAACGATGGAACATTAAACTCAACTTGATGTGGCATTGAGGTCTGTGTCTCAAAGCAAAATATGTCACTGAGGATGACCAAGTCCTTGGGCATCTCAAGTTGAACTTTGGATGTCAGCCACATACTTTGCACACATGTGTAGACAAGAAAAGAGAACAAGAAAGCTTCCAAATATAGCTGCAGTCCTCTGGAGTCATACTATTCCATGTTGGGAAAGTGGGATGGGAAGGAGAAAGAATAACAAAGACATTGGCACCCAAACAAGGCTAATTGTGAGGTTTTGGCCAAATCCACAGGCGGAATGCAGGGTTCTTTTGGTTAATTCATTTTTGCTCTCAACTACCGGATTTAATCAGGGATACCTACTTCAGCAGTCAGACCTGCAAATCGATTTTGCCTTTATCTGCCATTAACCAGTCACAAAGTGAAGCACAGTGAGTTCAAGATAGGTAGTTGAGGAATGCCATGTGTCATGACAAAGAATGTCCTCTTCTAAAAACACACTAATAAGACCATGTAGTTTGCTCCTTAAAAATACAGCACTGGATAAATGTTGACAGTGGGTGGTATTGCTGCTGGAATCAATGATAAAACATTTTAGTAGATCCAGTAAAAGATTTGGGGACTTAAAGAAGATAAACAATATATATGTTAGTGTGTCATAAGCTTTCACGGGTTTCATGGGGCCAAGGCAAGAGTAACATCGGCATTTAATGACCAGAGCACCCATCATCATCATCTCCATGGCTAAAACGCTACTGCAGGGAGGCTTGATTTGGGCTGGGGAACACTGGGGGCAGGGAGATGTTTAACTCTTTACTGCTGTGTAGATTGCCCAGTATAAATTACCAGTCCAATACTCCCTGAAGGTCTTGTTAATTGTGGAAGGGCTGTATGCTTACAGATGACAGCAGTTTTGGATAAAAGTAGCCGTTTTTATTGGAAGCCCTGTAAAAATGGGTAATAAAAAGACTGTCCAATATATATTGGTCAAAATCGTGTTGCTCAGCATACTGAATCTCACTAGGCGAGGGCCATTGAATCAATGGGGATTTGGTGAGTCAAGTCCTCTGTAAGTTCCCTTGGTGCAAAGTCCGACTGCGACTTACTATGCTAAAGTAAGTCACAGAGTAGGCCTATCTGAATCAATGGAACTTATGGAAGAGTTGATCTATGGAATCCCCATTGATTCAATCTGCCTGCTTTTGTGTGGTTTACTATAAGTAGCAGGCTTTTGGCATTTGGGAAACAAAAATAAATAATAAAAATGGCACAATTTTTTTGACATCACCTGAAATACTTCCCTAGTAATCTTTACTATCTCATTCCCTTTTAGGCAATGGCCAGAGTGTGGAGAGATGGACAGAAGCGTACAGTGCATATTTACCGACTACTAACAACAGGTTTGTCACATTATGATTGCAAATCCCATCTTGATTTGAAAACAGTTTCAGATGCAGCCATTTCTTAGGGCCAGAGAGTATATTTGTTGATAACTGCTGTTTTGGTTCACTGTTTTCAGAAGTGTAATCTTTGTATTCTTTCTCCCATATAGGCACAATCGAAGAGAAAATCTATCAGAGGCAGATCAGTAAACAAGGTCTCTCTGGAGCAGTGGTGGACTTTTCCAAAGGATCTGAACACATCCGTTTTTCTGTTGAAGAACTTAGAAATCTTTTTATACTGCATGAGGATTCCAGCTGTCTTACTCATGATCTTTTGGAGTGTAAATGTATAGGAAAGAAAGATGACCAAGGTGACTCTTGCTTTCCTGTCATTCCTTGCCTCTTTCAAATGTGGTGTACAATTTATTCTCTGTTTTTTGGTTTTTGTATGAATAACAAACTGCTTCTTAATTAAGCCTGTGTAGATAACCTGCACAATTCACTTCTACAGGATGTGGTGACAGTTGCTAGCTTAGATGGCTTTGAAACAGGATTGTACTAGTTCATAAAGGATAAAGCTAACAGTGGCTACTAGTCATGAAGGCTGTGTGCCACCTCTGGTTCAGAGGCAATCTACCACTTGATACTAGTTAATAGGGAGCAACAGGGATATGGCACTGACTATTTCATGTGGATTTCCCATAAGCATGTGTTTGGCCATTATTGTCCCCAGGAGTAGAAAGGCCAAGTGTGGGACACCTATTACAGCCTAAGGTCTAGTTTCACATTCAGTGTAGGATGCAAATTTTTTAGTTTAAAGCTCTTCCTGCTAGTAACTAAGGTCAATGAGAAGTGTTTCAGCCTTTTAGAATACAGAAAAAGGGTATATCATTGGTTAGCCACCAAATTGTTTTGTCAAGTGGTGTAACCATCTGGGAACTCCAGAGGGAAGTATTGGACATGAGGAGGACTGAATGTTCCTGCTAGTAACTAAGGTCAATGAGAAGCGTTTAGCCACCAAACTGTTTTGTCAAATGGTGTAACCATCTGGGAACTCTAGAGGGAAGTATTGGACATGAAGAGGACTGAATTTGGCCTCAGGTTCTGAGGTTTCCTTATACTGAGACACACTTGAACTAGCAGGGCCCTTCTTATATTGGCTGTCTCTCCCCACCATGTACTTCCTCACTCACCTACCCACACACAGAGTCTCTTTCTTCCATGTGTATGTACACTCACATTGTCTCCCACAGACTCACCACCCTCCACAATCTACCTGTCCATGTGCAAAAAGATTACAAACTCTTCTGCATGATTTTGCATCTCCGTTCCTATTGGCAGTTGATGTTCCTCAACTTTTTATTTCCTAATTATTTCTTTCAGGTCCTTTAGAAAAACTTTCAGTACAACAAGACTGCCAGCTTGGCAAAAGCAATGTGAAATCTGTTTCCAAAAGCACCCTACTATCTATGTCACAACTGATGCAGTGGAAGCACTTTTCTGTGGATCATGGAAATCTCCCTGATTCCTTCTTGGAAAGAATAAAAGAAAACATCACATTTGTTTTCCAAAGCACAAGCAGCTGAGGATGCCACCTAAGCAGGGCAAATTCATTTCTCCTTTAGTTTACAATGGACTTTTGTTCACCAATGTCTTTTTTTAAAAAATAAAATGTAATAATAGGATTTTTTTTATTCTTGGGGTCTTATTTATTTAAAATATTTTTGTCCGGGTTCAGTAGAAGAGGCACCACAACCCAGTCCAGAGCAAGACCACAGGAACGAGGTACAGCCAACCCCACAGTCCAAGAAGAGACCAACCAGCTAGGGTTTTGTGTCCAAACAGCAGCCAAGTAGAAGGATGATGTAAATTGTGGTCAGACAGTCCAGGAGCCAAAGCCAGGAGGAGCTGTATCGACAGTCCAGGAGCCAAAGCCAGGAGGAACTGTATTAAGGCAGCAGAGTCCAGAGAGACAAAGCCCTTCATTACTGAAGCAAAAGTCTGCATGGAAGGCCTATTCTTGTACAGCCTGGTCCTCATCTTCCACAGGTGGCCCTCCTGAAGAGCTGGGCAACAGCTGCAGGGAAAGGGCCCAATCCTGCAATCTTTAGAGCAGAGAAATGGGGCCCATCCTGCCTGCACTCAGGTTCCAAGGTTCCGGCATGGCCCCAGTCCTGACATTTTTACCCTGCCTTTCTCCTTTAAAAAGGACCCAAAGTGGCTGACACCATTGAAAATAATGTTTATTATTGTAAAATAATATTTAAAATCTTAAAATAGTAAATGTACAAATATTTTTAAAGGATCAAACAAAAACTGTGAAAATAGTAAATGTACAAATATTTTAAAAGGATAAAACAAAAACTGTCTTTAAAATGGTAAAATCAATACTAAGAACACATTTAAAAGCAACAGAGCACAACAATCCATTTTTAAAAAGCCTTCTCAAAGCGCAAGTCACAAGAATGCTTGTGGAATGATAGTAAAGATGGGGCTGCCTGGGCCCCCTCATGGGAACAGGTTACATACTCTGGGAGCAATGACAGAGAAGGCCCTCTTCCATGTATCCATGAAACACACCTGTGAAGGTACACAATGACAGAGAAGGCCCTCTTCCATGTATCCATGAAGCACACCTGTGAAGGTAGGACCATGAAAATGGCCTCTTAAAACTTGGGCATGCTCATAAGGAGAGATACCGTCCTTTGAATACCTTGGACCCAAACTGCTTACATGCTCATAAGGAGAGATACCGTCCTTTGGATACCTTGGACCCAAACCGTTTAGGGCTTTATAGATTAAAACCAGCACTTTGAATTGTGCCTGGAGATGGATTGGCAGCCAGTGGAGCTGCTGTAATTTGCTGAACAATCTAGCTGCAACATTTTGAGGAACATGTTTTTCCCCAAAGTGACCTGATGGTGGCAGCAATCTATCATAATATACCGGTATCTGTTTTTAACCAAAGATGCACAAGGCTTCTACAAAAACCTTCAAAGTTTCAGCTAAGCTAAAAATAATATTCTGTTACTCTGAATATTACCATCAACTAGTTGATATGGGCCCCAGTTTACTTCTTCTTTCTTTTGTTTCTTCCTTTATTCCGTAGTAACTTTGAAAATATAATAGTTCATTTTGCCAGATGTCTCCAAAATTTCATATTCCAGGTGTGCTGGTGATGGATGTTTCCTGACCATATTCTGAATTTTAAAAATAGTTATCTGGATTATATAGTTTAGCATGCTACATGGTTTTCATTTATTTCCCTCCATCTCTGAACCCAAACTCATGCTTTATTCTGTCCTTGAGATTTGCCTCCTGGCAACAGGAGGACCCCACCCCACCCCCGTCATATTTTGACATTCATTCATTCAAAGCATTTGTAGCATAATGTTCCATTAAAACTTTCAAGAAAGCTGTATTTATTAATGGTATTTTGGGGCACCTTGTAGCAAGGTTCTCAGGGTGACTTAGAACAAAATGATCTAGGTCTAGGTACTACTTGCCTTGGATGTGGGGCAAGCATTATGAAACTTTAGACTTTGTATCCTGAGTCTAAAACTGGCCAAATTTTGTAGCATCACTGATCATGACTGATCATTGTGGAAAGGGTTTGTATGAATCCCAGTGAGACCTGTACCAGTGTAGTCTGTGAGTGAGCCTATTCCTTGTGTAGCAAGAACGACCAACTGCTGACCCATAAAGGCTCTTCTGAAAATGTTGGAATAACTCTACCCAACTTTTTTAAGTTGTAAGAAACATGCCACACTTTAATATCGTGCCTCTGTTTCTTTTGCAATTTTGTATGGAATGTGTAAATCCACCTTCACAAAATCCTACTCCATTGCCTCATTGTGGCATGAAGATAACTCTGGGCTCTCAAAAGCTTATGCCAACTGAATAAAAGCTCTGTCAAGTTCTTCTACCATGTCTGCAAGGCTTTTGAATACAACCATATTGGTGCACTATATGTCTGGATCACCGGAAGGCTGCCCACCAAGTGACAGACTGCAGCATCTATGAAGATAATGTAATATACACTGGTGGAGAGACTACCCAAAATTATTAATCAAGGGTCTTTAAGATACAATGGTGCCTCGCTAGACGATGCTAATCTGTTCCACTGAAATCGCTGTTTAGCGAAATAATTGTCTAGCGAAAAGCATTTTCCCATTGGAATGCATTGAAACCTGTTTAATGTGTTTCAATGGGGAAGAATCGTTGTCTAGCGAAGATTGGCCATAGGAAAGCCACTTTGCAAACCGCTGATCAGCTGTTTAAATCGCTGTCTTGCGAAGCTTAGGTCCCAAAAACACCTGTTTTGCGAGCGCAGAGGGAGCTGTCAAAATCATTGTCTAGCAAACATCGGTTTGCGAAGCAGGGACCAAACATTGTCCAGCGAAATTCCCCCATAGGAATTACTGTTTTGCGAATCACTATAGCGATCGCAAAAAGTCAATGTCTAGCGAAAAAACTGTCATGCAGGGTAACTGTCTAGCGAGGCACCACTGTATGTGATTCATAATTATATGTAAAGGTATGCATGAATGTAAGTGTTCCGCAACTGATATTTTTTTGCTGTTAAGTGCTACCAGTGCTGCTGCTGCCTCTTAGCTCGTGAACTGTTATCTGCAGAGTAATGTTTGCCTATGGTGATCACTATCATAAAGAAGTCAGAGCTCTCCTATGCTTTAAACCAGGTAGGCAACTCAAGCAGGTCTGAGATCAATAGAGACATGGTGAAAGTGATAAGGGACTAGGCCAAAATGACTAGTTAGCTAATCTCTTGTTTTTTTTATTGTTTTTGTGTAAAGGTTGCCAATTTGTCCACTCAGACTTTGAAAAATCCTTTCTTTCAGAGCCTTGAAAAAGCAAGTCTGTAGTGTTCTCTTTCCTCTGTTTCTGCCTTTAAAACATTGAGAATGTACATTTATTCCATTTGAATCAATGGAGATTATGGAGAAGTTGACTCACCAACTCCCCATTGATTCAATGGGCCAACTCTGATTCAACTTACTACACTAAGCAACAGGATGTCAGCCAACGTATCTGTGTTCTCACTATTTCCATGCAGGCCACGAAAACTAAACTTTTACACATTAATAGTTCAGCTTGTTTAGAAGTCTATCTCTTTCTAATGGATGGAAGAAAAACTGTGCATACTTAAACTGTGTATATCTCCCGTTCCATTCACTTACTGGTAGTTACCACTGTCCAAACACAATCTGACTTGCTTCAGAAGAAATAATGGTAAGTAACGTCATTGTTATTTGCCATTATATATTTAAATATTTTTCCAAGGTCTTGAATGAGAACACAGGCTTCCAGGAAGAGGTATAGAGCCCACATTTTGGGAATAAGGACTCCCCCTCACCCCACCCTCAGATATGACATGCCAGGTTATTAGCATACTGTATTCTTGTAACTGGTAATGCTTAACCAAAGTTTATTAACTATTCCTGCTTCTTAAAAAAAAGTCACAGTTGTGCATCTCAATGAGTAATATTTCCTTTCAGATCTTCTGAGATGCTGAAAGCAAAACTGTTATGACTTCTGCTGGGTAATCTAATACATCAAAAGTATACTCATTTGACCCTTTTACTGGTAATCCGAAAAACAGTTCTTGGTTGCTAAGTAGTACTAACTGTAGTGTATGACTCCTTGCTGTCAATACTGCAATAATGTGAGGAATTTCAGGCATAAATCTATTTTGACTTGTTCAGCAGCAGCTGTGTGGAAGCCTCTCTGTAGTGGATGACGAATTAAGGTAATTTGCTATGACTAACAGTGTAGTGTCTTGCAAAAAATCAGGGAGATCCAGCCTTTAATCTCTGGTTTAGCCAGGAAGATTGGCTCTCCCTGGTTTTGATGCATTGGCTATGGCCCAATCAATATTTTTTGGCAGCTACCATGTTCTCTAGACTCACAAAGAGAGTATGGCTTTATAAGATGCTGATGGCATATACCAAGATCTAGGTCTATAGAGCCTGTATCCCGAGCACACTCCTGTACTGCAGTGAGTCCTGGACCCTTTGTGCATGGCAGGAGAGGAAGCTGAAAACACGATCCATATGTGTTGTCTCCAACACATTTTTGGTATCACCTGGCAGGACAAAGTTCCAAATAGAGTAATCCTAGAACGAACTGGAATTTTTAGCATGTACAGTGGTGCCTCGCTTAGCAATCGCTCTGTTTTACGGCGAAATTGCTTAGCGATGCTGTTTTTGCGATTGCAAAAGATATCCCTTTGCGATGTTTCCTATGGGGAAAATTCGCTTTGCGATGATCGCGGGGAAGCGAGCATTGCAGAGCCCCCATTTTCGGGCAGCTGATGGGAGGTTTCAAAATGGCCGCCGGGAAAAAAATGGCCGCCCGCTGTTTTGCCTTGCTTTAGAGGCACAGAAAATGGCCACCACAATGGAGGATTTTCGCTTAAGGTTAGTTTGGAAGCCCATAGGAATGCATTAAACGTGTTTTAATGCGTTTCTATGGGCTTTTTAAAATCGCTTAGCGATGTTATTGCTTAGCAGCGATTTTTGCTGCATGGATTAACATCGCTAAGCGAGGCACCACTGTATACATTACTGAAACAGTGACAACTACATTGGCTTGGGCATGTCGTGAGAATGGCTGATGGTCGGATTCCAAAAGATCTCCTGTATGGAAAATTAGTGCAGGGAAAGTG